TCGGAAAGCTCTTGTAGATCATTCACTGAAATAGAGGCACAGCATGTCTCTGCTATGTTGTACTTGGCATGATGTTCATGTTTATCCATCCACTTCCATGATGTTAGCCTAAAGAACTTGAGTTTATGCGGGGTTGTGAGGGGAGGGAGGATGTATGTACATGCCTGCTCCACGGCAAATTCCTTTACTTGAACCATGATGATGATGAGGGTGATGATGGTGATCAGGCTTCGCAGGAAATCTCACAGAAGATTTAATTTTCTGGTCTTTGGTTTGTTCCCGGTCTTTTACAATTTTTGAATTTCCCCCCTCTTTTCTAAAAGTTGACCTGCTTCTAGAATTGTGATCGAATTCACCACAAATCACGTGCCCAACACCCCGGATCTAACGCCGAAGCCCCATTCCTTGGAGTAATCAAGTACGTGAGTGCCCCAGGCTGTCAGGCACCCAGCCGGCATGCCAATGCAGGTCCTCCGCCCGCGTCATCGGTGACTTGCGCTACCGTCTCAACCTCTCAACTACATCTCTCCCTGCATCTCACCACCACTCCTTTTGTGCCTTGCTTTTAATGCTTCTCTTCAGCCTTGTCTTTTGCGAGAAATTTCTGCATTTCCCTTGCTTTCTATAGATAGCGCCTTCGAACGTCGACTAGCAGCATTAATCAATGCCATCTTACCTACTAATCCCATCTGTCATTTAGTTACTCCGCACTGGTCACTCCGCTTGGCTCGAGACCCAGATTGCGAGTAAGTGAGGCGACTGCTGTCCGCTCTTCACACACACACACATACACACACACATCGATCATAATGCGATCAAAATTACCGGTGCAGCTCTACCTAGCCACCCTACTCTCGTTATCGGTGTCTGCAGCTGTAGCACAGAGCAACTATTCCGACACCCGTGTTATATCTCCGCTCTTCAATGCTTTCGATAAACGCCCAGACGATTGCCCACCATGTTTTAACTGCCAATTAGATGCCTTTCAATGTGCTCAATTTGCTTCCTGCGATAATCTGTCCGGCAAGTGCGTATGTCCGCCTGGGTTTGCTGGCGAGGACTGCTCGAAGCCGACATGTGGATCGTTGGCCGATGGCCATGAGAGGACCCCGCGGACAGACAAGTACTGCAACTGCAAAGATGGCTGGGGCGGCATCAACTGCAATGTTTGTCAGAGCGATGACATTTGCAATGCCATGATGCCTGAAGGCGAAGGGGGTGTCTGTTATAGCCAAGGTGTAACGGTCAAGGAAAATTTCCAGATGTGCGATGTCACCAACCGCAAAATCCTCGATCAACTTAAGGAGAAGAAGCCCCAGGTGACGTTTTCCTGTAAGGCGGAGGATCATTCCTGTAATTTCCAATTCTGGGTGGACCAAGTGGAATCGTTTTATTGTGGTCTAGATACCTGCGAATGGGGCCTGGAAACCACCCACGACCGGAACAGAACTCACTACAAATGTGAGAATATCAAGTGCAAGTGCATTCCGGGCCGCATGCTCTGTGGAGAAGAGGGCTCGATTGATATCGGCGATTTCCTCGACCAGTCCATCCAAGGTCCTGCCTCCTTTACGTCTGTGTCTACCAACGGTGGTAGTGCGAATGACGGTAGTAAGTTCCAGGAACCCGCCATGGATAACTTGATCAAGAGCGTTTTCGGGGACGAAAGTATCTTCCTGAACTGTCAGTCTGGAGAGTGCTTGTACAAAACAGATGTACCTGGATACACGCGTCCCGTGAAACAAATCAACACACCCCTCATCGCTGGAGTTATCGCTGGTTGTGCACTCTTTGTTGTGGCGGTAATTCTGACCGTATGGTACTTATCACGCAGGTCGTATCGGGGACGTATTCAGTTGCCTCTCTCCGATGATTCGGACGATGAGGCCACCAAACTCTTGACGGATCACAAGCCAGCGGCGCTATATTGGGATAATGTGTCTTATTACTTGAATGGAAAGGAAATACTTTCTGGTATTCAAGGTGTCTCACAGCCAGGCCAGATTACAGCCATCATGGGAGCTTCAGGTGCGGGAAAAACGACATTCCTTGATATTCTTGCCCGAAAAAACAAGCGGGGTGCAGTCCGCGGTGACTTTTATATCAATGGAGAAAAGGTCAATGACAATGATTTCAAGAGCACGATAGGATTTGTCGATCAGGAAGACACCATGCTCCCCACCCTAACTGTGCATGAAACGATCTTGACGAGCGCACTACTACGGCTTCCCCGGGACATGAGCCGAGCAGCTAAAGAGCAGCGAGTGTTCGAGGTTGAAAAGCAGCTTGGTATCCATCATATAAGGGATCAGTTAATCGGGTCAGAAGAAGGAAAAGGCCGTGGTATCTCTGGTGGCGAGAAGCGCCGAGTGGGAATCGCCTGCGAACTGGTCACTAGCCCTAGCATTCTCTTCCTGGATGAGCCCACTAGCGGATTGGTAAGACAAGGATTATTTGGAATAACTGAGTACCCAGTAATTGTTGACATGTTTTATATAGGACGCTTTCAATGCATTCAATGTAGTTGAATGTCTGGTGACCCTAGCGAAGACTTACAATCGGACCGTCATCTTTACTATCCATCAACCGCGATCCAACATCGTTGCTCTATTCGACCGACTTGTTCTCCTGGCACATGGGAAGACGGTATACTCGGGTCCTTTTTCCACATGCCAGCAGTACTTCGACAATTCCGGATATTCTTGCCCTCCTGGATTTAATATTGCTGATTATCTCGTGGATCTCACGATGCATGCCAGCGTCACCCGGTCCCATACCGACGAGGTCGTATCCCCGTTGTTGGACGTGCGCTCAGACCCACCCAAGACTGCATCAAGCAGCTTGCGGGCTGTTAAGTCAGTTGCTAGTGCATCAAACGCAAGTATCGAGGATAATTCTAGTAGCACACTGGAGGCCAATCGAAGGCCGAAAAATGGCCGCCGGGTCTCTCTCAAGCAACGCCAAGATAAGCAACTATATTCCCGGAAGAAAGATCGTGAACGTCCTGCCACCCCCAAAACAGATGAGGAAGATGTAGGTGATGTGGCGGAGAACCCTCAGCAATGGTTACGCCTTTCTCGTCAGCCGGGCAATGTTCCACCCCAGATCCTTGATGACCCTGATGAGTTACCTCCAATTGCACCAGGTCAAACCGATCTCGACATCTTGGTTGCGAACTATTCCAGCTCAGACGTTGCTCGTTCCGTGAATGACGAAATCGTAGCAGCCGTTCAGCATGCTCGTACCGCGAATGGTTCGGCCAACTCAGACATCCTCTCAGGTGCCCCTATCAGTACACCCAAGAGCTATGCTAGGGTCGGCCTGTTCCGTCAGTTTCTCATTCTGTCTCAGCGGACGTGGCGGAACCTGTACCGGAATCCAATGCTGATGCTAACTCATTATGCCATCTCTATTCTGCTCGCTGTGCTGTGCGGATACCTGTTTTATGGATTGACGGACGATATCAAAGGTTTCCAAAATCGTCTGGGTCTTTTTTTCTTCGTCCTCGCCTTATTCGGATTCAGTACACTCACTAGCCTCACGGTTTTCTCAGCAGAGCGGCTCCTGTTTGTTCGTGAACGGGCGAATGGCTACTATCACCCTGTTACGTACTTTGCGGCTAAGGTGGTATTCGACATTGTGCCTCTGCGACTCCTGCCCCCGGTGATCATGGGGGTGATCGTGTATCCCATGACCGGGCTGATCCCGGCATGGCCCGAGTTCCTCCGATTTATCTTGGTACTTGTCCTCTTCAACCTTGCAGCTGCCAACATCTGTCTTTTCATCGGTATCGTCTTCCGCGATGGAGGAGTAGCCAATTTGATTGGCAGTTTGGTGATGCTCTTCAGTCTGTTATTTGCCGGTCTATTACTCAACCACGATGCAATTCCTAAGTCCGCTTTGTGGCTACAAACTGTAAGTTTATACATATTTGAGCTTCCTGGAGGTAGGATGCAAAAGCTAACTAAATCCTAGCTGTCCATCTTCCACTACGGCTTCGAGGCGTTGATTGTCAACGAAGTGACGTTCCTCACGTTGATCGACCATAAGTATGGGCTGGACATTGAGGTTCCAGGTGCCTCCATCCTGAGCGCTTTCGGGTTCGATACTTTGGCGTTTTGGAAGGATGTTATTGGACTGGGTATAATCTCCGGGGCGTTCATCGTGATTGCCTACGGAGCGATGCATGTTTTCCTCATTGAGAAGCGGTAGTCGCGTAATGAATGCATCACGCTTCGTCTAATTTACGTTCGGCGAGACTGGTGTTATTCCTGACCATTATTGTTTGGTGTTGATAGGTAACAAGATATTGTATCATGTTCTTACAGCTCTTTTTCCTTTTCCTTTTTCTTTTTCTTTTTGCTGGTTTGGTTTGTTTTTCTTTTTTTCTGCTCTCCACCTATATCATGTTCATCTAACCCCTGTCTTAATTCCCGCTGAGGAGTTAGAGACGACTCACCGGAAGTGTATATATGCCCGTATGAGGAATGAGAATTATTACGGCGACCCCAATCAGTCCACGGGTATGAGCAGGAAGTACGGAGTTAGTAGTAGAAGACTCCAGATGCGGATGGAAGCACGTGTTTCCCCCACGTCATTGTGCGGGCTTCATATGAGGGGCAGTTTTTATTATCATCATAATATTATAGATATATATATATTAATTTAAAATGTGTCAGTTGAGGCATATATAATATATGTGAAATTAGAGAATATGACTTGACACCTGTTTGTTATACGTAGCTGGCAAGCTGCCCATTTGGAACATCCATTAATTGCAGTGTTGACGGGGAGACTCCGTTTCTGGTAAGTAGTAAACTATACCTAGTAGGTGCATCGTGGGCTGAGGCATCCCACAGCGATATCGCATTCGACCTCCATGTCTTGCATTCTATTATTAATACCGGTCTTATCGGTAATTATTTCTTCTATACAGTACTCTGTACCTTTTCTGTACCGTATGAATGTATACTCCGTACATGTATGTACATACTTATATGCTCGATTAGTACATAGATGTCCATATGTTTCTTTTTTTCTTACCATACGAGACTAGTGTGTATTGATTACTCTAGACTTTCTCACCGCCCACACCGAGTCCGAAATCCAATCCAATCCAATCGCCTTCTCCAGCCTCGACTTTCCACTTCTCCAATATCTCTTCACGTCTTCTGCTACCGGGTGTCTTCCCCTTTAACTTACTCTCTCTGAGTAGCCGATCTTCCTCTCCGAACCCCTGAGAGCGGCTATATCTTCCTTCCTCCTCTTTTCTCTCTTTTTCCCGAGCACAAACTCTCGAGTCTGCCCAACATGTCCGGCGAAGCGTGGCTCTACCTGTTGGCGGTGTTGATCAACGCCGTCAACCTGTTTCTGCAGGTGTTCTTCACCATTATGTATAGCGATCTGGAATGGTACGTTTCTATCCCCTCCTTTGCTTACAGGCATTAAGGTTGGGGGAGCTCCAACCTCTAAACCACTAAGCGATTGCGACAAAATGACGGAGCTAACCCGCCTTTCCTTCCCGCAGTGACTACATCAACCCTATTGACCTCTGCAACCGTCTGAACGCCTACATCATCCCCGAAGCTGCCGTCCATGCCTTCCTTACTTTCTTGTTCGTAATCAATGGCTACTGGCTTGCGATCTTGTTGAACCTGCCTCTGTTGGCATTCAATGCCAAGAAGTACGTCCTCATCCCTCACCTCTATAAAAAGAAGAAGAATAAAAGGAGCTACTCATGAATGGTGATAATAACTGGACATTGCACTGTATAGGATTTTCGATAATGCGCACCTTTTGGATGCGACCGAGATCTTCCGCAAGCTCAACGTACACAAGAAGGTCGGTCGTTCGGGATTTACGTCATCACTCACTCGGAATGCCAGCTGACCGATTATCAGGAATCTTTCATCAAACTAGGTTTCCACCTTTTGATGTTTTTCTTCTACTTGTACAGTATGATCGTTGCGTTGATCCGCGACGAATCTCATTGAGTTCGTGACGCGATCGAGCATGCGATGCGCGATGGCCATTCTGGCTGAAGTATCGCGTGATGCGCTATTTTGTCTTGCGATAAGTAAGGCTGGATCGAGCATGATAAATACTCTCCGACACGGTACCCGGACGCGCTCATGTCGCCAATCTGGGTCTGCCTATTTTAGCGATCTCGGCGCTCCGCCGGTATGCCGGGGCATGCAACGGGAGATGGATGAAATGTAGGATATGCCTATGACAAGGAATCTGACGACGGGTTGGGGTGATGATCAATCTTTTGGTATAACGACTTAGACTGGGATGGTGGATGGAAAACTGCATCGCAGCGATGCAGTTCAATTGAGATATTTTTGCGTGTATTGATTTTACGTTGCGACTGTATTCCTTCTTGATGTCTGATGTGCTGTATATACCACCACTCAAGCAGTGTTCCAATGAAGAGCGTACGATACCCTTGCTGTGCCATTGTAATATCAATCCATTTCTGTATGCCTTTCCATCACAAATGATCGTTGTAGAAGTAGTGTGGTTTAGTTTAGTATGGAGAGAGCGCCGGTGGTGTAGAAACGGCAGTGTTCGCAGTGGGACACTCGCCGCCCGAAAAATTAGACTTAACTCGCCGCCTTTGAAACTTAGCTTATCCAACTGCCGCCACGCTTGCGCCCTTCTTGTTCCTAACCTTCCCAGCGCAACTGCGAATCCCCAATCTCACGTTCTCTTTTCGCGGAAACTCATATAGCCGTGCATCATGGCGTCGCTATTAGGGGCTAACTACGAGTCTAGCGATGATGAGACCACGCACACCCAAACTCAAACTACCGCGCCAACAGCGACTAAGATCGTCGCAGCGCCTGAAGTAAATACAGAGGTTTGGTTCCCCGATTTTCTCATCTTTTCCTCCCTTCATTTTGTCCATGTGTCCCTTAGTTATTACATAACTTGACTCTCAAACATTGCTTGTTAGGGCCTTCTGATATCTAACAATTGTACAGGACCAAGCACATATGCAGATGATGCTCGCTAATACGTCCTCCCAAGCTCTGACCTACAATGCAACATACGATGATCTCTCCCGTCCCAACCAGGGCCCAGCGAATCCGTTCAAGCCTGACGGTCCCGCGAATGGACTCAAACGCAAGAATGTGCCTACTGGGTACGCGGAGGAAGCAGCAATCAGCGCAGCCACCTTCGCCGCGCAACACCGCACATTCCAGAGCTTAGGATACACACGCAACCCCGGGGTACCGGGTCAGTTTGTAGGAGATCTGGACCGGGCGACACAGTATGGAGGCCGGGATATTGTACAGATGAAGCCGTCAAAAGAGGTATCGGCAGCCTTGCGGGCTAAAAGGCAAAGGAAGGGTGATTCGAGCATTGTTGAGGGTGAAGGCGCTTATCTGGGGCCCTGGGCGAAATATAAGGATGATGACCATATGTATGAGGAAACGGAAGCGGCCGAAGACCGGGAACTCGCCAGTGACGAGGAGTACGTGGAAGAAGAGGAAGAGGAGATTGCTCCAGCTCATATGCCTGCTATGAGCAAGCAAGCGACAGACTACCAGGACGATTCGTCCAAGGTGGAAACGACCGAATTTCACGGATCCGAGCAATTCGACTACTTGGGCCGGACGTACATGCATGTACCGCAAGATCTGGATGTCGACCTCAGGAAGGAGGTTGGCAGTGTCAAGAACTTTATCCCGAAGAAGCTCATCCACACCTGGAAGTCACATACCAAAGCTATCACATCCCTCCGCTTCTTCCCTCAATCCGGCCATCTCTTACTATCGTCTGCAGCGGACGGCAAGGCAAAGATCTGGGATGCATTCCATTCGCGCGAGCTTCTGCGCACTTTCTCTGGCCACTCCAAAGCTATCACCGACACAGATTTCCATCCCACCGGGAAAACGTTCCTCACAGCATCCTACGACCGCCAGATCAAACTCTGGGACACCGAGTATGGCAAGTGCCTTGGTCGTTTCTCCACCGGCAAGACGCCACACGTCGTTCGGTTCAACCCTGGTGCAGAGCACTCCCACGAGTTCCTGGCTGGTATGTCTGACAAGAAGATCGTCCAATTCGATACCCGCTCCGGCGAATTGGTTCAAGAATACGACCACCACCTGGCAGCGATCAATACCATCACCTTTGTTGACGAAAACCGTCGCTTCATCTCCACATCTGACGACAAATCCCTCCGCGCCTGGGAATATGGCATCCCCGTCCCGATTAAGTTCATTGCAGAACCATACATGTTCGCCCTCACACGTGCAGCACCCCATCCAAACGGCAAATACGTCGCCTTCCAATCCGGCGACAATCAGATCGTCGTCTACGGCGCCACGGATAAATTCCGCCAAAACCGAAAGAAGAGCTTCCGCGGCCACAACAACGCTGGTTACGCCATTGACCTCAAGATCTCTCCAGATGGCCAGTTTATCTGCTCCGGCGACAGTGCCGGATACGTATGCTTTTGGGACTGGAAGACCGGGAAAATGTACCACAAAATTATGGCCAGCGGTAAGGAAGGTGGTGCGACGACTTGTCTTGACTGGCATCCTCAAGAGACGAGTAAGGTCGTCACTGGTGGGTTGGATGGTGTGATTAGATACTGGGATTAGATTAGGACTTCTTTTTGTCTTCACTTTCTATTTCCTTCTTACTGTGGTGAAATTTATACCAAGATGATGACTATACCTCTTCAACGCCGTTTATATCATCATATATTGTATCTACTTACATATTTCGATTATGGATATGGGTGCTAGGGATTTTCAAGGAATACCTGTAGGCTATAAAAATCAGAACTATGATATCCAAGTGCTGTAGTATAGAATCCAGGTTCACGTCAGAAAACTGATCGAATTAAAGTTTAATTCATACTTTTTCTCCATATTACACAATTAATATACACAAAAGAAAAGTCAGATACGTTCATATGCAGTCCCTGGACCACGAAGATGACAAATGGAGGAAGACAGAGCAGGTATGTCACAGCTAGAAGCTAGCCATCTCGATCCAGCTGGCCACGAATGCCAATCTCCGCCCCCGGTCTGCTGCCATACGCTGCGAGAATTCCTCGAAACTAAGCTTGGCGCCTGTGCCTCCTCGTTCTTTCGCTTCACGTTCGACACGATTGAGGTAGGCCCAGCGTGAAAGAATCAGTGGAGACGGAGGCATGGTGGGACCATCTCGAGGTGGAAGAGTAGTGGAAGCAGGGGGTAGAGGTTGGATTGGTGAGGGGGAGAGTTTGGGAGCCGTTGCTTCTGCTTCGGGGGAGGAAGCGACTATTGATGGTGGTGCTGGGAATGAGGGTGTACCGTTAGGTTGGAGGCGAAGTTCGGCAGGAAGGGATTGCGGGAAGGTGGAGTGTGTTGGCGAAGCATTGTAGGCGTCAAAGTGTGGCGTAGAGGTATCAGGTAGTTCCTGGGTAACTTCATTTGGACGATGATGTGGCAATGTAGGGTCAAATTCGGGTTCAACCGATGGTGACCGACTCCGTTCTGATAAAGGAGATTCCGGTGATGAAACCGCTGGCGCAAAATCCGGCTCTTCCTGTTGGGTCTCGGTCAAGGCAGGCTCGGCTGAGTCCTCTTCGGGAGCAGCGAGGTGAGTTGGGCGTACATCGTCGTCCGGGGGTCGCAGTTCAGGTGACGGGGGAGCAAGTATGGGTCCGTCCCGGACGGGCTCCAAAGGCGGACTCCCAATAGTATATCCCGCCCGTTCAAGCAGTTCATCGAGTGACCTGTCGCCGAAGGGGTCATGCAAGGAAGGCTCTGGTTCCTCTTTGACCTCGTCGTCCACGGGTCGCCCATCCCGTCGGGCAAAATGCTTTCCGGCATCTATTTGCTCTACCAGCTCGATCTCTCGGGCCCAGATCTTGCGCTCAGTGCGCGTCCGATAAACTTCCATGAGCAGGTCTTCCTTGGGTTTGAATAGTATATCAAGCAGTTCGTTAAATCCTTGTTGCGTCACTTGGTATAAGATTTCCTTTCCAACGTCCCTTTCAACTTCAGGAATTTCAAAGCCTCCCCACCGCTCACCAACAAGTATACTGCGTGACGATGTCGATGGATTTGACCTCACGTCATAGTCATCAGTGACGTCGTCCTGGAACCGCACTTTAGACGAAGAACGGGAACGAGGAGATGGAGGATGTGACTCAAACTCAGGATGTTGGTCATCGAGGTCATCCTCATTCGATGCATCATGCGCGTCTGAATCAGTCTCATAGCCTTCAGGCGCAGCGGCGCCATCTTCTTCATCGGTGTAGAATGCTCTTCGCCGCCACCGCTCATCGATCCCATATCTACGAGCTGCATCGACTCGTCTATCATCATCGTCAAACATTCGATGGTACACAGCAGTGCCGATCCGAGCCCTGTCAACTGGGTCGGTGACCTCTGATAGGGGAACATAGGCCCCAAGAGCCGTCACAATATCCTCATCGCGGATATGTTCGGCCGGAGGCCAGCGGTCAGTAGCAACCGACGAGCTGGAGCCATCAGAGCTGCTGGCATCATCTACGTTCTCGCCTTCTGGTCTACCTTGATCAGGTAGCCGGACGGATGGAAACAGTGGTCGAATACTTCCGTATCGGCTCCTAACAGCAGCGTCACCAACAACGGCATGCCGGTCACCAATGTCGGTCCCGTCGGGGCGCAAGATACCTTCGTTGTCCACGATTTCCATGTCTCCTTCATGATTCACGCGCTTGCCTTCTCCGGTTCTAGACACCTCCCCTGTAGGGATGCTGCCAGGAAATGCAGAACTGATTGGCTGGCTCCCCAGAACAACATCTCGTGCACCGCCCTCTAAGAAGTCATCTTCCATGCCTGCCACCATATCTCGTGTTAACTCTCTGCTGAGAGCGTAATATGCCCGGAATACCCGTAAGAAGTCCTTCCGTTCCACGTAGCCGTCACCATCAATATCATACCCACGGAAGACACGGCGCAACCTCTCATCGTTGCTTTTATTGTTAAGGCTTGCAAGGCCTTTCAGGAATTCTTCAAACCCAATTAAACCATCACCGTTCGTATCATAGAAAGCAAACATTCGATCGTAGATGAGGCTTGGAGGCGGTGGACGGACAGATGTGTTGGGCACAAAGCAC